ATTATAATTATATTATATAAATAAATAAATATGTCACATATATTAATATTTATATTTTAATTAAAAACAAATACAATTATCTTATTACCCTCACCCTCCCAAACCCTCTTCTTCCCCTTCCTTCTTTCTTTCTCTTTCTTTCTTTCTTACCCTGGGTCGGTGGAAAGATGAACCCAGCAAACAAAACCCAGCCTTCCTCACCCTCCCAATCCCTCTTCTTCCCCTTCTTTCTTTCTCTTTCTTTCTTTCCCACCATAGGTCAGTGGAAAGCTGGGTTCATCGGAACCCAGCAGATGAAACCCAGCTGCTGGGTTTTGATGAACCCAACTGCTGGGTTCGGTTGAAACCCAACTTCAATGAAACCCACATGCTTAGCCAATTCCATGCGTCTAACCAAAAAATCCTTTCTTCTTCCAATTTTTCGATCTTCCCATTCATTACCTGTGAGCCCTTCATCTCCTAATTCTTTCCATTCTACCCACGAAGAATCTATAATCACTTGCAAATCTAGATTGACTAATTGTTCTCGGATCGTCGATTTACAATTTGATTGCATTTTTGTTGAAATTTGATTAGAGTTTGATTGATATTGTTTATTGAAAGGTTAATTTGATTTGATAACATCTGCTAGGTTTGAGGCTCCAATGAAACCCAGTAGCTGGGTTCAATGATAGAGAATTTGGAATTCTCTAGTTCATAGACATATTATTTTGTAAGGACTCACCCTACTAGCAGTAGAGGCAACCCGACTCGAGTTAGATTGATTTTGCAGAGAGTGAAGGTGAGAGACCATTCTAGGGTTCACAGATCTTATTGGTGGTTTGCAAGCAACATGAAAGCCATTGAAGGGTCTTTGGTGTAGGAAGAAGATGACATGTCATAAAAAAAAATCCATATCAGCACTTTTTAAAGTTGTCCTTGTCATGTCATTAAAAAAAAATAAAAAATGCCACGTGGCCTAATTAACGGCTCAAATTGACAAAAGAACAAACGTTGTGCATTTTTTAAAGTTGAGGGATCAAAAAAGTACAAAAAATTATTGAAGGACCAAAAATATGTAACTCACTAAAGTTAAGGAACCAAATTTAACATTTAACCTTGCCTTTTTGCCTCGTTGACTGAGGTACTTTAATTTAATCAACCTCAATTCAAAACCAACCAAAAGACCACAACCAAGTGGGACAATGTGCGTGTGCCTTGTCACGCAACGGTCGAGATATGAGGAGATGTAGAGGGTGTTTGTCGAGACTAAAAAAGTATTTGTTTTAAAAGGTAATTTTTTGAAAAAAAAAATTATTAGAGAAATTTAAAAATTGAGTTAAAAATAAAAAATTAAATATTAATTTTTATTAAAATAAAATAATAAAATAATAAAAATTATTAGAGAAATTTAAAAATTGAGTTAAAAATAAAAAATTAAATATTAATTTTTATTAAAATAAAATAATAAAATAATAAAATGATGAT